ACGGGTTTGCCACCAGAACACAGGTGTCGAGAAAACCACCACTAAATCAAAGCCAAAATGGGAAAGGAAAAGACTCACATCAACATTGTTGTCATTGGACACGTAGATTACGGCAAGTCTACCACTACTGGCCATCTGACCTACAAATGTGGTGGGATCGACAAGAGGACCATCAAAAAATTTGAGAAGGAAGCCTCTGAGATGGGGAAGGGCTCTTTCAAGTATGCCTGGGTCTTGGATAAACTGAAAGCTAAATGTGAGTGTGGTATCACCATTGATATCTCCCCATGGAAATTTGAAACCAGCCAGAATTACATGACTATCATTGATGCCCCAGGACACAGAGACTTTATCAAAAACATAATTACAGGCACATCTCAGGCTGATTGTGCTGTCCTAATTGTTGCTGCTGGAATTGGTGAGTCTGAAGCAGGTGTCTCCAAGAATGGGCAGACCTGTGAGCATGCCCTTCTGGCTTACACACTGGATGTGAAACAGCTGATTGTTGGTGTTAACAAAATGGATTCCACTGAGCTTCCCTATAGCCAGAAGAGATACAAGGAAATTGTTAAAGAAGTCAGCACCTACATTAAGAAAATTGGCTACAACCCTGACACAGTAGCATTTATGCCAATTTTGGTTGGAATGACGACAACATGCTGGAGTCAAGTGCTAACATGCCTTGGTCAAGGGATGGAAGGTCACCTGTAAAGATGGCAATGCCAGTGGAATCACACTGCTTGAAGCTCTGAATTGCATACTGCCACCAACTCGTCCAACTGACAAGCCCCTGTGTCCGCCCCTCCAGGATGTCTACAAAATTGGTGGTATTGGTACTGTTCCTGTGGACTGAGTGGAGACTCCTGTTCTCAAACCTGACATTGTAGTCACCTTTGTTCCAGTCAATGTTACAACTGAAGTAAAGTCTATTGAAATGCACAATGAAGCTTTGAGTGAAGCTCTTCCTGGGTACAATGTGGGTTTCAATGTTAAGAACATGTCTGTCAAAGATATTCGCTGTGGCAATATGGCTGGTGACAGCAAAAATGACCCACCAATGGAAGCAGCTGGCTTCACAGCTCAGGTGATTATCCTCAACCATCCTGGCCAAATCAGTGCTGGTTAGGCACCTGTTCTGGATTGTCACACAAATCATACTGCTTGCAAATTTACTGAGCTGAAGGAGAAGATTGATTGTCATTCTGGTAAAAAGCTGGAAGGTGGCCCAAAGTCTTTGAAATCTGGTGATGCTGCCATTGTTATATGGTTCCTGACAAGCCCATGTGTGTTGAAAGCTTCTCTTACTATCCTCCTCTGGGCCGCTTTGCCGTTAGTGACATGAGACAGACAGTTGGTGTTGGTGTCATCAAAGCAGTGGACAAGAAGGCAGCTGGAGCTGGCAAAGTCACCAAGTCTGCCCAGAAAGCTCAGGAGGCTAAATGACTATTATTCCCAATACCTCCCACCCCAGTCTTAATCAGTGGTGGAAGAACGGTCTCAGAACTGTTTGTCTCAGTTGGCCACTTAAGTTTAATAGTAAAGGACTGGTTAACAATTACAATGCATCGTAAAACCTTCAGAAGGAAAGGAGAATGTTTTGTGGACCATTTGTTTTTTTTGTGTGTGGCAGTTTATAAGTTATTAGTTTTTAAAATCAGTGCTTTTTAATGGAAACAACTTGACCAAAATCTGTCACAGAATTTTTAGACCAATTAAAACAAAATTTAATGAGAAAAAAAGGAATAGAAAGAGGAAAATGGCAAAAACAAAACAAGACAAAAGAAACCAAAAAAAAAAAAAAACAAAAAAACAAAACCCAAACCCAAGAAAGAATAAAAATAAGAAAAGAAGGAAAACAATAGGGTAAGAAATGGAAATAGTAAAATAAGATATACATAAGAAACATAGAGAAAAAAATTGAAGAAAAAGGAAAAATAATAAAAAGGTTATAAAAATAATGTAAATCATGAAAAAGAACAAAGTGAAATTTTCCTCAGAGATTTTAGTGCCTGCCTGCTGGCTTCTTTCTTTGGATACTGCTCTGATGTTGTCTGAAGCTGATATAAGCCAATGTCAGATGTTGTCCATGTAGAGTTCTTGCCAACCTCTTTGAAGCTACAAGGGACCCACAATTAGTGGCTGTCTTCTCCAGGCTTGGCTGCACACAGGATGTGCCACACTGCACTGCAAGGCTGACTTACCAGCACTGGGCCCAGGGGTGGGTCAGCAAACATCCCAAGGCACTGCAGGATCCACTTCCGCCTGCATCTGCCTGGTGGCCTTGTCAGTCTCAGTTGCTGACCCAGCATTTTCTGAGAGGACTTCTGGTAGAATTGGGAGGATGGGACCCTTGGATTTCCTATAGTGGAGAGGTACTGTTTAGACTTCAGGGAAGATGGTGGATATGTTTCCCCACACCCCAGCCACATGTCTGGGTCTGTTCCAGATTATTTTCCTGAAGTCTGCAGGGCAGAACACCTAGTAGGAAAGCTGGTGGGACATCCAGAGCCCAGAGTTTGGGTGCTGGAAACCAGGAGGATGTTTCTATGGCTCTACTGTGAGGGTGAAGCACCAGACTGGTTCCTGAGAAAATGTATGGAATGGCCATGCACTAAAGCCAGCCTCTGACATCCCCTGAGTCTGCCTATGTTGGTATCTCCTCAGCAGGGGTTAAAATGCAGAGTGGGGAAAAATGATGCAGGATGGGGAGAGCAGGAATCCAGGGGGTGGGGTGAGTTAGATGCCAGAGGATGGGGCAAGTAGGATTCCAGAGGGTGGGGTGAGCAGTGTCCCACATAGTGGGGTAATTATTTTTCCCCTGGGAAAGGCTTGCTCTTCTCAAGAAAAATGGCTGCTGCAGTATCAGGGAATATCCCGGCACAGGGATGCCAGCAGCCACTCTGCCACACCTTTCTCCAACGCCTCCCATTCCAAACTCTCATCAGGTGACTGCAACCCACACTGCCCTCCTTTCTCTGAAGCCCAAGGTGAGTGCCTGTGAACCAAGAAAACAAAACAAAACAAAACAAAACAAAACACAGTGTTTTGGCCCTTTAAAAAATAGTGGCTTTTTCTCCAGCAGTCTCTGTCTCTCCCCAGCACACAGAAACCCCACAGCCTTTCACTGCTAAATGCTACGTGGGTGGCTGATCTCAACTCTGATGCTGCTCCATAACTAGGAGCCCAGTCTGGGGTCCAGGCTTTACTCCTCTCAGGGGGAAGCTTCCACAGCTGTGCAGTAACTTCAGCCTGGTGCCTTCGGGAGCAGGGCCGGGTAATTGTTTTTTCCCTTTCATGTTCCTACTCTTCCTGCCATTCTCAAGGTGGTTTCTGCCTATCCTTGGTTAAAAGTGTCCTCTTCAAGTAGTCTTTGGTTGGTTATTTCAGGTGGCTATTCCCTCCTTTAATTTTCTTTCCAGTTTGGTTCTGGGAGGAGGTGCAAGAAAGATCCTACTCTGCCACCATCTTGTGACCTCCCAGATGTGTATGCTTATGTGGAAAGAGCAAAGAAAAGAATTATGGAATTGGCTAAAATTTTTAATCCTGACTCTATCATTACTAACTGAGTCATGTTATTAACCATGATTATGTTACTTGATTTCTCTGAACCTCAGTTTCCACAAATGTGAGATAATAGCAATGTCTGTCTACCTATATAATTGGAAATTGGATGATTAAGTGAAATAAAAATAAAATATATGAGGTCTGTCCAGAAGGTATCCAGCCATGTAATATGAAAAATAGAGACATTCATTGAAGTAGATACACGATAAAAGAAACATTATACATAGGACAATAATGCCTCAGTCCCCTTCAAAGTAGTCAGTTTAGGACCTCACACAGTTCTCCCTATCACCATCAGCTGCCCTGTTGTATTTTCCTGAATCTCATTGACAGTTTGAAATCTCTTCCCTGTAAAAGGTAATTTTAGTTTTGGGAAAAGCCAGAAGGCATAGGGTGCCAAATCTGGGCTACAGGGGGCCTGAGTCACTTGGGCAATTTGATGTTTTGCCTAAAAACTTTGTGGGAAATGTGATGCATGAGTGGGCATGTTGTCACAAAGCTGCCAATCACCAGTTGCCCGTAGCTTCAGCTTTCTGAATCATCCAAATAGTTTCCATGGAGGAATGTTCAAGCTTAATGCAACATTTTATGCAGATTCGTTGTTCTACTTGCTAGTCATTTTGAATGCAACACCACACAGTACACATGCTCACTCAACAGCTTCTACCGCCCCCATTAACTAGTACAGTGAAGTCATCATTGTTCACCCATGCACATTCCAGTCCACTCTCCTTGGCTGCCAGGTTACAACAGTGTTGCGCAAACTGTTCTCATGATATTAACAATGGCTGGACTTTATCCAGACAGTCTTTGTATATGTTATGTTTCCCCTAGCTTAGTGCCTGAAAGGTTCTTTTTATCATAGAAGGAGGAGAGGAAGAATGATAGAGATGTTCTCTCCTTGTCTTTTGGAGTTGTTAGGTGACCCCTGGTGTCCATTCTGGGTGTTGGTGGTTGTAATTCATGAGAGTGTTTCCCATGCTAGCTGGTGCTTAGCTCACTGATGTGGGCATAGCAGGAGTCCCCAAAAGTCCTTTCCAAGATTGAGTACCCTTTTATTTGACAATAGGAAGAGGACGAGGAAGAGAACCTCTGGGTAGTGCCAGTTTTCCTGCCCTGGCTGAGGAGATTCAGGAGAGGGTTGGGAAGACAAAGCCAGGCTTGGTGCACCACCACCAGCCTCAGGGACAGGGTGAATGTAGAACTGTGGCCACAATGACAGCAGTAGGACAGTAAGGGAGGCAGAGGGCTCTGTCTCCTATGGTGGAGAACACGGTGAGGAGAGGCTGCAAGGTGGTAGAGGGAAGAAAACTTTAAATGAGCAAAGATTCTAAGAGTACAAAAGAGAGAGGGAGAGGGAGGGGCCAGCAGGGGTGGGGGGAAGGGGTGGAGAGAGAAAGAGTAGGAAGAAGTGGGAGGAGGGCGGGTGACAGATACAGACTACAAAGAGGGTGGAAGAGGAACAACTGACAGGCTCAAGAGCAAGGAACAGTGGGCAGTCGGAGGAGAGGTGGCCAGAGGACTAAGAAGCCAACAGAAATTCCAGAGAGGACGAAAAGAAGGAGGTAAGGGTGGACTTGAATTTTAAGAGATAAAATTACCAGTTGATGGGAAGGAGCCGGCAGAGAGAGCCTTGAATTCCAGGCTGGATAATAACAAAACTTTCTGTACCTGTGGGTTTATTCCCCACCCCTCAGTGTTCCCTGTGATGGTGACATTTAGATATATTAAGGGGGCTGGTTTACAAAGCTGAGATAAATGACTTAATTGGTATACAAGGAGCTGTAGAAAGGTGAGTGGAGGGCCCTAGGAATTAGTCCACCCCTTGTGGAGTTGCACTGGTCTATGAGCATCTTGCAAGGGGTCCGCCGTCCATTTCCAAGCACCTTTTTAAAGATAAAATTGGCCCTTTAAAAAAAATCATCACTGTTTTACAATGCTTCCTCTAGGCTTGGAATCCTTTTTGAAATGCTTTTCAGAACATCTAGGAGAGTGTTTTGATTATTTTCCCCCCTAAGGCATGTTGGATGGTTTAAAAATATTCCCTGCTTAGTTTCCTGCATAGTATCATGTCCCACTGGGCACTGTGAGCAATCTGGCCTGCCACTTGCTGTCAGAGGCAAGAGACGGTGAGACCCAGAGAAGAAGCCAGAAGAGGTGCCCACTGAAGGTCACCTTTCCTCCTGGGTACAGGGCAAGGTAGAAGACCACTGGGCTAAAGGTTTCTGTCAGCTCTTTGATGTCTCTTCTAAGCACATGGCAAAAGAACCTGGACTCAGTGGCTGGGAGTCTGGTTCTGGGGCACTGAAGCTGGATAACCCTGGGCATTTCCAGATACTCTCCCTTCTGGACCTCAGTTTCCTCATCTATAACATGAGGGGTTTGAAGTAGAAGGACCCCTCTGGGTCTATTCAGCAGTAACATTGTACAAGACTATGATTCCTTAGGCTCAAATATAATTCAGCTGAAAAAGGGAAGCTTGACACAAGGTTTTTATGTCCTTATTGTGCCTTTGTTCAGTTTTTATTTTATTCTGCCTCCTAGTATCTCATAATGGAGGAATTCCTGGTTCTAACTCCTGAGCATCTCACTTAGCTGTTTCCTGAACAAGGGTCTGGCACGCTGGGTCTGACTGGTCTGACAAGGAAGGTCATTGCAAGGAGCACTGGATAGGGATTTGGGAGACCTGAAGGAAACCCAGCAAAACTAGACAGAGAAGAGACTTTGGGCTCAAAGCTGGGGGCACAAGCTGGTATTTAGAGTCATCCCAGCATGACTTTTATACCAGCAGACCAAGCAGTCTCCATCTCTTCCATCCACTACCTTCAAGTCACAGCCCAGCCCAAACCCTGATTCACTGCTCTCTCGGGACAACTCTGAACTTTCCACCTTCCTGCCAGGCTCCCTAGGGAGACAGAGCTGATTGGAGCCTGCTCCCCGGCTGTCCCTCTAAGCCTTTTCCTTTCTCTAAGCAACTGCCAAAGATCACTGCAAGGATCAGTCCCTGAGACCACAGCATGCATGGAAATGAATACCCGGAGGTGTGTTCACTGGTTTCCAACTTGGCACCCCCAGGGCATCACCTCACCCAGACATGTGAAGTTCAGAGAGCCATGGCAGTAACGTAATTGTGTTGTCCTACCTTGCAACTGCCTCACAACCCCAGAGATGTTCTCGCTGGTCTCCTGCAACTGGTCATCCTGCTTATCTCCTAGCTGCCTCACTCCTGTCTCCCTTACTAGTGCTGAGCCATTAGAACTAGAAGAGGTTTCTTAGATTACCTGTCAACCTCTTCTTCAACAAACAAGGAAAACAAAGCCTGGAAAAGGGAAGTGACTTGTTGAAGATGACACAGAGAATCGGGGCCAGGTCAGTTTGGAGAATACCCTGTTCTGCTCATTCCCACTAGGACTCTCCTGAGTTTAGTCCTTGGCTGTGGTTCCTAAGCCTCTGTCCTTTTCCAAACCTTCCTGCTTCTTCCATTTAAGCATCCCTACAATCCTATTTTCTGGCAGGGACATCCACCTGCACAACTGTTCATCATCAAAGCTGGATGGTTGGGGGGCACATGCAGTGGAACTCTAGCAGCCAGCAGGCTGCCACAGTGCAGCCTGGCCTCTTGAATATTGGCTGATTCCATCTTGGGATCCAACCAATTCAAACAGGACTGGGAATCTGTCTGTGTGTATCAGTCAGGACAGGGACTAAGAAGACCTGCTGTCTGCAGAGCGAGTGAGATCCCAGGCCCAGGCTCTGCCCTATTTCCCAGGGAAGACTTCATCTGCCAGGAATTCCAGCAGCTATGCTCTCTGTGAACTGGGTGCATTTTAGGCTTAAAGATTGAGCTCACCAATGTAAAGAGATACTCATTTTTCCAGGAAAGCTTCAGGTTTCCTAGAAAAGAAGCTGACTTCATGTCTATAGTCAGAAGCTGCTGGCTCCTGGCAAATGAGAGCTTGATGCCATTTTGTGAATCAATTGTTTCTGACATATTAGCAAATGAGAGTCAAAAATAATTCAGCCTTCAACAATCCACTCACTTTCATAAAGAAAGAGAGTCAGGAGGTCCCAGAATCAGAGATATTGAAATAGCATAGAGGGACCTTGGAGTTTATATAATTCAGGGGTAGGGCAGAAGGGAGAACCTGGGCATTTAGAATCACATTCAGAATGGAATTTCAGTTGAGTGACCTTGGCGGCATGTCTCTGATCCTGTTTCTTCATCTTCCAAAGAGGTTAGTAAATGCCTCCCTTGTGAGGATTTATGAGAATTAAATAAAATAATGTATTTAAAATGGCTATCACCTACTAAGTGCTCAAAGAACAATAAAACAATTTGGAGAATCCAAGTAACCTGATCCTTGGCCCAAGTGTCTTCAAATTGTATTTCATTCCATGCAATGGCCTTCCTACCATGGGGGCTTGCTGTGACATGTAATTCACAGGTATTGCCTGGTTTTTATGACCACAGATTTTTTTTTCTGGGATTACCGTTGCTTACCTTTAAACCTGGAATCAGAAAATCTGGATTTGCCTCTTGGCTTTGCCACTAACTTGCCATACTATGACAAGTGAGTGAGTCACAAATTCCCCAGATATTCTAACTTAGAGCTAGAAGGGCCTTAGCAACCATCCAGTTCAGCCACTTGGTTTTATACATGAGTGCACCGAAGCTCAATGACAGGTAATATCTAGGGTCACAAAGAATTAGTTGAAACTGAAATAGTTCATAAAGAATACTTTTAGATTTTTCATAAACCCTGGCATCTTCATGACTCAGAACTTCAAAACAAGGCAGATGTGGTTGGTGGTCCAGATGCCCCATCTCAGATTGCAGAGTAGAAAACCTACTTCTTGTCCAAGTGGAACTGAGCCAGTTTCAAACCTACCATTGTGGGTGTGCCTTCAGATTGGTGATTAGATTCAAAAGTGCTGCAGCTCCTCAGATGGAAAGAATCACAGGAAGCACACATTTTATAATATGGAGTCCAGCTCCAGGACCAAAACTTTGAGTTAAAAAAATGTTGGAAGGCAGACTGGACCAATTACAAGAATGAGAGGGGCCTGATCTACACTTCCTTCCTTCTCCACCCTGCCTCCAAGGATCTTCACATCTAGTAAAATAACCAATTTATGGTTTAATTAATATCCTTCCCATTGCCCTTGTTTTTCCCTCCTCTGATAGTCACCCTTCTCCACTCCATGGCACATGGGGGTCCTTGCTGTTTCACTCTAACCAGCCTGCTGTACTTTCGAATTCTGCATAAAGTTGGCTAGTTTGATCATGTTTGAGAGAATTTTTTTCTGGAAATGTCAGAAAAGAAAAACAAAAAAATAACATTATTGAGTAGCTACTACATGACAGTTCTGTACTAGGCAATTCCACATAGCCACAGATTGTTTAATATCCACGAGTAACCTTTTTTATTTTTTCAGATTAGGAGGAAACTAAGAAGTTAAGTGACTTGCCTAAGGTCACACTACTAGAGAACTATGGAGGCAGAGTTAGAATCTCACTATTCCTTAAGAACCATGAGCCCCACCACCTAACTATTTCTGTTTCCTTTGTTCTTGTTATGATTTGACATCAGTGGAACACTAGAGCCTGCTGCTTGGCCAGCTGAGAAACTGGCAATAGACACTGCGGCAGCCAAGAGCACTTAATGGCTAAAAAAGGAAATAACTTTCTATATGTGAATTCTGGCCAAATGGTGGCAGTTGCTGAAGCCTGGGAATCCTGACCAATGTGGGCTGAAGGCTTGATGTAATCATTAATTCTAGGAACAGCATATGTAACAGATAGCCTAGGCTAAAAAAAACCACTTTGACCTTCTTATAGAAACTAGGAAAAGCCCTGTTTGGGGAGTTAAGAGACTGGGCTCTCAGTTACATGTTTGTCACCAGCTGTCAGCCCTAGAGATGCTTTGATTTTCTTTACCTTTTATAAACAGAGAAAATGTAGGCTTTGGAAGAGGGCATACCAGGTTCAAGTACCCTAGGCAGTATTTGCTAGTTGTGAGACTTTGTACAAGCTACTTGACCTGTGAGCCTCAGTTTTTTTCATCTGTAAAATGAGATAATACTTATTTCCTAATAGAGTTAATGTACAGGTAAGAAAGTATAGTTGTACAGTGCTTCACATGAAAAAAACACTTAGTGCTATCTGTTATTACTATTACTTAACTTCCCTCAACCCTTATCTTCATCTTGTATAAAAATAAAAATATGATCTCTAAATTTCTTTCAGCTCTACTGTACTATGAATCTATGACAAGATGGTGGGGATAATAAGGAAATATAAGCATTTCAAAAATATAAATTTCATTAATAACTGCATAGCTACTAATCACCCTTCTCAGGACAAAGGAAGACCTCTCAATATTTTATTGTAATGGCAGATCTCCATTTGCCACCCCTCCCATCACTCCTTATAAGTATTTCTTCTTCCAACACTTTAAGAAAAAAACATTTTTACCCTGGCATAATTCTCTTTCTCCATTTTGCCTGCTCCTCTCCACCTCCTTGGCTATGAAACAACTGTTAGCAGGGTGTCTCTGAGTGGGCC